CCCCCAGGCCCGGCCACCCTCTGGTCACCCCATCACGCTGCTGCCATGCAGGAGCCTGGAAAACACCAGCGCTTCCTCAGTTTCCCAGAGGCCAGGCCGGGCTCACACGCGCTGTCCGACACGGCCCCAGCAGGGAGCCAGCACACTTCGGAGGGAAGCGCTTTTTTTCTTTTTTTTTAAATAAAGAAACTAGTTCAAGGCTCCATGTTTTCCAAACATACTTGTTAGCCCGCATTTTGGCACTGCACTTTGCATCACATTATAAAGCACTTCTAATGTTTTGCTTAAAAGCTTGAAGAGCAAAATAGGCATTTGTTACCGAATTCCAGGTATATTGAACTTGCATATAAACACTGTTTGCATTGGAGCAGAGCTGGCAGAGCTGGCACCAACCCCGTGCAAGGCAGGTTTGCTGCACTCTCCCAGTTGCTAAGGAGTTGTGGTAGAAAACGTCTGTTCCCCAAACGCTCAAGGACTGGCTCGTACATGGCACACTGGTATTTTAAATCACTTTAAGCCATTTCAATCAGACACACTATTAACAAAAAAAAGCAGCTATATGAATTAATACCAAAAGAGAAGGCCCTTGCCTCTAATAGCTGCTCCATAAAAGAAAAGAGTTGAAATAGTTCCATTCACACTTGAAACAAATCCATTAACATTTGCTCCCCAAACCATTATAAATAAATGCATTATCCTAAGATTATTTATATTTCAGCTATATTCCATTTTATTCTCTTGGGCTAGGGCACATGACTAGGAGTGAACGAATAATTTATAACAAGGCACATACTTATTTTAATTTTGCCTTATTTTTTTGTTTCACTTATGGCATATTCATGAGCACACTGCAGATTTCTTGAATTTGTTATTGATAATTACTGCAATTTTACAAACTTGTGACTTAATCCAAATCGGTCGCCCTGCTAATGTTGCCTAATGAGATGTACTGGATAGTTTGGCACATGTCCCATGTCTTCTCCTGATCTCTGGCTGAAGAAGAACTTGAGGCATGGATGCTTGCGAACATTTGAAACAATTCAATTCTCCCAATCCTTGTGCATGTGGCTTTCTGCAAGCATTTGTGTCAGTGAGAACTGATAACTTGCACATTCCCAGAAGGTGAGAACATAAGCAAAGCAAATTAAAGTAAAAAAAAAAAAGAATAAATAAGTATAGAAAAATGTTTGCATTTATTTGCCACCTCCGTAGTCAATACGCCTGAAATAGGCATATGAGAAATATGACATACTACCAGTTTAAATAAAATACTTTTTTCTCTGTGCATTTGACAGCATGGTTGCTTTGGCCAATTTGAGTTCGTTCATTCTTTCTTTCTCTCTCCTTCTTTCTCTTTCCTTTCTCCCTTCCTTCCTTCTTTTCTCTCTCTCTCTCTCCTTCCCCATATACTGAAGGAAGAGGTGTGAATGGAGCTAGGGCTCCGCTGGAGCCTTGGGCGCACAGGAGAGCAGAGGGGCTCCTGCTGGAGCCGGGGAGCATCTGAAGGGCTGGGGGGAGCGAGGGAGACTCTGCATGGGACCAACAGCTCCCGCCTTGACAGGACAGGGCTGTGGGAGCAAGAGACGGCATTCAACGGCTTACATCCAAACACGCGCCCGATGCTTTCCTCGGTCCGGGACCCTCCTCTTGAGCCCATAGCTCACTGCGAGTTTCCTGCTTGCCACAATAGGCACGTTCGCTTACGACGGTGGCGATGCCCAAGACGTCACTGCTCCTGCCGGCTCCGTGGCTGAGAGCAACGCGGAGCAGAGCGCGGCCAGCCCGCAGCAGAGAAGCGCCTTCCCCTGCCGAGCCCCGGCCGGCGCCCCAGGTGTGACCCCGCGAAG